TTGTATATCTGTTCTATTTTGCTTATGTTTGTGAATTTAAAGAATTATAAATTCAAAAAGAATCAATTATCAGTCCTTCCTAAGATCAAAGTGAAAATAATTTTATCAAGCGTCATTTTGAAAACCAACACTTTGTTCAAATCTGAAAATCAGACAGCCTATGAGTTCACATTTAAACATTTAAAATTTATTTTTAAGGGTTTGTTTTTCTTTTAAAACAGAGTGTTTATATCAGACTTATGGAAATATTTTATAGTTACCTAATAATAGCAAAAATTTAGTTTCTAACATTTTTGTTTTTCTTTTATTGACATATTTTAACATAGCTTGCATACATGATTTCATGATTTAAGCAGCATAACTTATTCTGTTTCTTGGCTAGATACCAATTAAATAACCAATGATGCAAGCAGTCATTACCTGCTTAAAAGGAAATCTGTGGTTTCCTTATTTAAATTGCTAAGTTTTAGTGTCCATCAAAAAGGCTGTTGTTGCCATGAATAATTTAACCATTTCAGTCTACTACACATTTTATTACTACAAGCATGGATTTAGAGCTACAAAATTTGCCTAAAGTTTCTCAGTCCCAAGGACTAGAATCATACTTGCTATAAGACAATATTTATGCATAGTTATGTATGCTATTTAAAATAAGACACTAAAAGGACAATATTTCTAAAATTAGAGAAGAAAGACTGAATCAAAAAATTTGATGAAAGGAGTTAGAGAAATGGTTGATATTAAGGGCCTTGTAAACACATTTACATATGTGTAAGAGAACCTAGAAGAACCTTTTTTAAAAGAGTAAAGGTCAATAGATTTGGAGATATCGGGTGTCATTTCCTCTGTTTGTCCCTTGGTGGAGTTCTTGAGTCACTTTCTCCCTTTCCGTCAAAGTGCTTTATATTTCTTTTCAGAACTGGCTATCATGTTTACTGTATTTAACCTTTTTCTCGTATTATTGTGAATAATACAACGTCTAATAAAAATGAAAGCCCCCCTGAGATCCTATCGCTAGCACCTATTCCTTTGTACTCTTACCTGTAAACTTTTGTCGTTACTTCTCTTCCTGTCTTTTCTTTAAGCTTAAACTACATCGAGGACCTTGAATGCTATTTTTCAGCTAAGTCACTAAAATTTCTTTACTGCAAAGCAGTTTTAAGCAAAAGAGGTTAGTAGGTAAATTTTCAAAAGGAAAATACCTAATATTGTAAGTTTAGGGAGAGATGTTTCGCATAGAATAGGAATCATTGGTCACGTTTTATTAAATGTATGTTAGAATGAAATGGATTTCCATTTTAATCAATTTCATTATGTACTCTTGGTTGGGAAGGGACATTTCTTTGTCTTGTCTCCTTTCTCTCTCTCTCTCTCTTTCCCTCCCTCCCTCCCCCCTCCCAACAACATTCCCTCAAACATTTTGCTTCCTACACTTTATGACGTCTTATTAGTCTGATCAATGCAGGCTTTAGGACACTGCTCTTATTTTCTTTTTCAGTTTTGACTACCAAAGCAGCAGCAGCACCAGCAGCAAGATCTTTAATTTATTGCAGCCGGTTACACTTTCGATCCCATTTCCTTCTGAACCTTTGCCTCTCAGGTTGAGAAGATAAATGCAGCCTCGGGTCTAAGAAACCGGGCGGGGTTTGTGGGTGGGAGCGAAGCCGGATATCATATTCCTTTGGTGAGGTCTGGTACTAAGGGGATTAAATCCCCCGGTTCCATTTAATGAAATTGCTGAGCACTTGTGACACTGGCTGGAAGACTGCGGAAATGGGGCGGGGGTGGGGGAAACGAGTTCTTGCCTCCATTCATCCTCCGCACCCGCAGGAGGCTGGAGTGAGAGTGTCAGTCCCTAGACTGGGGGCGGAAGAGGATTGGGAGCTCTGGCCGAGGCCGGGGCGCCCGTAGGGCTCCCCTCACCTCCCCCGCACCTTCTCCCCGCCCATTCAGTTCCGGTCTCCAAGAACCGCGCCGCTGGGCAAAGCCGCTGTCACTTCTTGGCGGCTCCGGCGGAAAGGTCGGAGCCGGGGACCGCTGGGGGAGGCTTCAGGGCCCAGCAGTCTGGCAGCGCTGTTCACATGCAGAACACGTCGGACCCATTTCCCACGCTGACTTGGCTCAGCCGCGGAGTTGGTAGGAATGAGAGTGGGGAAGGCGGGCTGGAGACTACCTCCCGCCCGCAGAGGAAACCACTCCACTGTGAAGGACGCGTTTCACCCCCTCCCCCTGTCATCAGGGAAGAAAAGTCCGGTCTGAGAGGGAAAAGCCGCCCACTCCTTCGACCCCAGCAAATGTGCGTTTGGCCAGGGCGCATCCGAGCAGCGCGCAACTGTTAGAAGACGGAGAGGGGTGTATTCAAGTTTATGGTCTGGAGTAGGATGAGGCAGTGTACGCGTCTCTGCCCACGCGGCTGTCTGAAGTTTGCAAAACCTTAGTAAAGGCGGAGAGGGGAGTGAGTGCACTGCACCGCATTGCCGCGCATCGGAATGCATGGCGCTTGGCCTGGGAGTGGAGAAGGCTTTTCTTTCCCTTTGTAATCGGGGTCAGTGGAAAGCAGGCATTCCGACAAGCCCGTATTCTTGCCAAATATAAGGGGATTTGGCATTACTGCCACTTAGGCGGCTGCAAAGGCGCTGCAGCGACCGCCCCCGCCCCCGGCTGGAGACTGCGGCGGTGCGCACTGAGCCTGCGCACCGAGCTTTTCTCGCTGATGCTGCAGATACAGAGCTAAGGGGCTAGGATGACGGCGGCTGGAGGGTTAGTGGGAACGCTGGATCCCCTGCCCTATCCTCAGAGGAAGAGTCGCCACTATCAAATGCTATTGCTTGAACACATTGGAAAATACCTGACGGTTTCCTAACCACATACTACACACACTTCTATTCTCCGCATTTCCAGGATCCCCTTTAGGAAAGCTTGGAAATCTCTGCCGCCTCCCCGCCCCCTGCCGCCCCCATTCCTGCTCGCATTGCTCGTCCAAACAACCGCACACTACATCTACTTCGGGATTTTATTAGTATTTATCTTGTTTAAATCATTCTGCCTCTCATCCAGGTCTAAAGAGAGTCTGGACAGACCTCCTTTCTTTCTCTCTCTCTCTCTTTCTCTTCCTTCCTCCCTTCCTCCCTGCCTCTTTTCTTTCCTCCTTCCTTCCTTCCCACTACCCCCCCCCAACTTCGCTTCAATTTCTTTTTTGTTTGTTTTTAAAGAGGAAACCCTTCTAAGCTTATAGATTGGGCAAAAGAGCCAAGTACCAACCCAATCCCATCAGCAGCCCTTTTCCTCCATTGAGATAGTAAAAATTCTCCCCCCAAATCTCCTGCCCGCTTCAACATTCAATCTTGGCAGGGGCCCCTTAAATAAATAAGGAGCAAATGGATTCAGTTCAGAAAGCACAATCAGACCTGAGATCTGATGAAGTGGTCTGCAGTGGTCATGGTTGAAAATTAACTGGGGAAACCTAGCATAGGGGAATAGCAGAGAAGATCTAGTGGCACAAAGTCAAAAGGAGAGAAAAGGAGCTAGGGACACTTTGGTACACAAAGTTGCCATTAAAGTTTATTTCCCTTATATCCAGATAGGTGACGCTACACTTTACCAGTTACTACAGGCTGCAGGTTTCTGCTCAGAAAATAATATCCAGGCTTCCAACATGTGTTTTATTCCCCAGGCGCGCGCACACACGGTCTACCCCCTAATGTAAGCACGATGACAGGAATGCCAAGCATTTAAACAAAGACAGGCATCCTCCCCAACCCACCCCCGCCCCATCCCAACCCTCCAAAGTCTGCGCTCCCAGAACAAGGATCCCTCTCCCGCTCTCTCTGGAGTTTGAGGTTCTCTCTTCACTACTGCAGCCCATCACGGATTTTCAGAACACCAGCGTTGCTTTGTGGACGCACGCACGCTCCCCAACCCGCCAGTAACCGTGCCCTAATCCAGATGGTAAATTGCTCAGAGACACTTTTGTGGGAGAGTAGAAAATCGTCTGAAAGGGGAGAGACGTAAGAGAAAGGTGTCCTAATACCTGATCCAGATCTCTCATACGCACTCCTGTGAGAGATCAGGAGGAGGAAATTTACCAGCGCGAGGGAAGGAAAGCATGTTTGCCCCCGCCCCCCCCCCGTCCCACTCCCAGAGAACTAGCGGCTGTACTAGTTGGGGGGACTAGGCTTTGATTTAAAGAGGTTGAGATTGGGCACTCTCCAAGCGGCTTCTGAGCTGAAGCTGGGCTTTACGGAGCGCAGCGGATGGCTAGTGCTCCCTCCCGCCTCCTTTTGCTGGGCCCTCCTCCCACGCTCGCTGCGAGTGTGTAGTTTCGGCATTGGGGCTCCTACCGCTGCCGCCGCCGCAGCAGCAGCAGGAGGGACAAGTCTGAGTCGCCAGCAAGCGAACCTTCAGCAGCAGCCACTACTTTGGGCAAACTTGCGCATTTCTGGCTCGTCGGTAGAGAGTAAGAGCTTTCCAGTTGTGGTTCAGTGTCTCCCAGTCGAGGCAGCCTGAGAGGTGGCGGGAGCGCCCCCACCAGACTCTCTTAGACGCGAAAGCGGACAAGACAACTGCGGAATTCACCCGCGGTGCCAGGGCACTTCCGAGACAACAGCCGACTGGCACTTTTTCTCCCCTTGGCAAACTGGATTTTTTTTTTTAAGCTACTTGGCAGCTGTCTCTGGACTCCACCTCTCCCTCTACGCCCCCCACCCCCCGCCTTTGGCTTTTCTTCGGAAATCCGGACAAAATTGGGCAACGTTGTTAATTGCCATTGGGGGAGCCCAGCCGTGCGCTTTCATCGGGCCAACGCCGACTGTGCTCGGAGCTTGACTTGTTCACCTTTGAACTGCAAAGGGATCAAGTTCAGCTCGAGTTCCCTGCACTGGGACTGGCAGGAAGGAGTGAGATCCGTGCAGAAGAGCGAGTGAGAGAGGGGGGAAAGGGGAAAGGAGAGGAGGGAGGAGAGAGGAGGAGGGAGGAGAGAAAGAGGGAGGGAGGGAGGGGAGGGATCGAGAGAGAGCCGGGAGAGAGAGAGCGAGAGGCTGCAATCTCCTCCCTGAATCGCGCACAGCGCTGCAGATCCCACAGCTCCGACATGCGGGCCGAATGCAGGTGAGGAAAGGCACGGACTCTGCGGCTGCTAACCCAAACTTGGGCACCGCGCGGGCGCACGGTTCAACCCTCGCCCCCGCGGGCGAACGGCTGCTGCGGTTTCAGGCGGCGGCTTCGTGACTAATGACCTTGCGCAGAGTTGTTAAGAAAAAAGAGAAACCCGAGCTCTCCGAGGGTGAGAAGCGACTGACTCCGGGTGTCTCTGAAGATGGCTCTGGCTGCTCTTTGGCGCGCCGGGGGAATCCGGACGCGGACCGCGCTGTGACGCGAGTAGTCTTCACTGCACCGTGCCCGAAGCGACCTGCTGGGGATTTTTTCATTCTGTTGACTGGCTTCTCCGCTGCCTGAGAGGAGTCAGAGTTGAGACTGGCTTGTTGCTGGCCCCGGAGCCTCCTGCAGGAAGCGACTCACATTTGCTTGGGCATCCATAGCCGGAGCAGGGGCTGGGTCTAGAGTGAGTGGCTGAACGTGAATTGGACTCAACTCGAGTAGCAGCAAAGACCAGCGTGGCTGGCAGGCGGGGGAGGCTGTAGGCTTGCTACCCGCGGCTTCCCGGTTCCACCGCCCGCCTGCTGAAGCGATTCTGGCCCCTTCCAACAGAGCGGGGAACCGAGCCGGGGATCCTCCTCCCGCTGCGGGGATGACTCTGGGGGGGCGCCCAACCCGCGGCGCGCAGTGTCCCGTGAACTGTGAGTACTGCGACTGAACCGCGGCCGGCGAGCGGGCGATTAGCACCCATTGCATGAATTATGAAACAATAACTTTCGGAAGAAGCAGGAGGAAGAAAAAGAAGGATCTATCGCTACCCCCACCCCATAGGCCGACTCTACAAGCTGCTTTTGCCCCCTCCTTCCCCTCCCTCTCGTTCCTTCCTTTCCCGGAGAGGAGAGAGGACTGGGGGAGGGCAGGCGGTCAGCCCCGGAGGAGGGGGGCGCCGAGGGGGCTGTGGTTAGAAGGAACAGTAGCAGCAGCAGCAGGAGAAGATGCTGAGGATGCGGACGACGGGATGGGCGCGCGGCTGGTGCTTGGGCTGCTGCCTCCTTCTGCCGCTCTGGCTCAGCCTGGCGGCGGCCAAGCAACTCCTCCGATATCGGCTGGCGGAGGAGGGCCCCGCCGACGTCCGGATAGGCAATGTCGCTTCGGACCTGGGCATCGTGACCGGCTCGGGTGAGGTGACTTTCAGCCTTGAGTCGGGCTCCGAGTACCTGAAGATCGACAACCTCACCGGTGAGCTGAGCACAAGCGAGAGGCGCATCGACCGCGAGAAGCTCCCCCAGTGTCAGATGATCTTCGACGAGAATGAGTGCTTCCTGGACTTCGAGGTGTCGGTAATAGGACCCTCGCAGAGCTGGGTGGACCTGTTTGAGGGTCGGGTCATCGTGCTCGACATCAACGACAACACGCCCACCTTCCCGTCTCCGGTGCTCACGCTCACGGTGGAGGAGAATCGGCCTGTGGGCACGCTGTACCTGCTGCCAACCGCCACCGACCGTGACTTTGGCCGCAACGGCATCGAGCGCTACGAGCTGCTCCAGGAGCCCGGGGGCGGCGGCAGCGGTGGAGAGGGCCGGCGCTCTGGGCCAGCCGACAGCGCCCCCTACCCAGGGGGCGGCGGGAATGGCGCGAGCGGCGGCGGCCCTGGAGGCTCCAAGCGGCGGCTGGACGCTCCAGAGGGCGGCGGCGGAACTAACCCTAGCAGCCGCAGCAGCGTGTTCGAGCTTCAGGTGGCTGACACCCCGGACGGCGAGAAGCAACCGCAACTGATCGTGAAGGGGGCGCTGGACCGCGAACAGCGCGATTCCTATGAGCTGACCTTGCGGGTGCGCGACGGCGGCGACCCGCCTCGATCTTCCCAGGCCATCTTGAGGGTGCTCATCACCGATGTGAACGACAACAGCCCCCGCTTCGAGAAGAGCGTGTACGAGGCTGACCTGGCTGAGAACAGCGCCCCTGGGACCCCCATTCTGCAGCTGCGCGCCGCCGACTTGGACGTAGGGGTCAATGGACAGATCGAGTACGTGTTTGGGGCGGCCACCGAGTCCGTGAGACGACTACTGCGCCTCGACGAGACGTCGGGATGGCTCAGTGTCTTGCACCGTATAGACCGCGAGGAGGTGAACCAGCTGCGATTCACAGTCATGGCCCGAGACCGTGGGCAGCCCCCCAAGACAGACAAGGCCACCGTGGTTCTCAACATCAAGGATGAAAACGACAACGTGCCGTCCATAGAAATCCGCAAGATCGGGCGCATCCCACTTAAGGACGGGGTAGCCAACGTGGCAGAGGACGTTCTGGTCGACACCCCTATTGCTCTGGTACAGGTGTCAGACCGAGACCAAGGGGAGAATGGGGTAGTGACCTGCACAGTGGTGGGCGATGTGCCCTTCCAGCTCAAGCCGGCCAGCGACACAGAGGGCGACCAGAACAAAAAAAAGTACTTCCTGCACACGTCGGCTCCTCTAGACTATGAGACCACCAGGGAATTCAACGTGGTCATAGTTGCGGTGGACTCTGGCAGCCCAAGCCTTTCCAGCAACAATTCCTTGGTGGTCAAGGTTGGAGACACCAATGACAACCCACCGGTCTTTGGCCAGTCAGTGGTGGAGGTTTACTTCCCAGAAAACAACATACCTGGCGAAAGGGTGGCCACTGTGCTGGCAACAGATGCTGACAGCGGAAAGAATGCAGAGATCGCCTACTCGCTGGATTCATCAGTGATGGGGACCTTTGCCATTGATCCCGATTCTGGGGACATCCTGGTCAATACGGTGCTGGACCGCGAGCAGACTGACAGGTATGAGTTTAAAGTTAACGCCAAAGACAAAGGCATCCCTGTGCTGCAGGGCAGTACCACGGTAATTGTGCAGGTGGCTGATAAGAATGACAATGACCCTAAGTTTATGCAGGACGTCTTTACCTTTTATGTGAAAGAAAACTTGCAACCCAACAGCCCAGTGGGAATGGTCACCGTGATGGATGCTGACAAGGGACGGAATGCAGAGATGAGTCTGTACATAGAGGAGAACAGTAACATTTTTTCTATTGAAAATGACACAGGTACCATTTACTCTACCATGTCTTTTGATCGGGAACATCAGACCACATACACTTTCAGAGTCAAGGCTGTAGATGGGGGAGATCCCCCCAGATCTGCCACAGCCACAGTCTCTCTCTTTGTGATGGATGAAAATGACAATGCTCCCACAGTTACCCTTCCCAGAAACATTTCCTACACTTTACTGCCACCTTCAAGTAATGTCAGGACAGTAGTAGCTACAGTGTTGGCAACAGACAGTGATGATGGCATCAATGCAGACCTGAACTACAGCATTGTGGGAGGGAATCCCTTCAAGCTGTTTGAGATTGATCCCACCAGTGGTGTGGTTTCCTTGGTGGGAAAACTCACCCAAAAGCATTATGGTTTGCACAGGTTGGTGGTGCAAGTGAATGACAGTGGGCAGCCTTCCCAGTCTACCACCACCCTGGTGCATGTTTTTGTCAATGAAAGTGTTTCAAATGCAACTGTGATTGACTCTCAGATAGCCAGAAGTTTGCACACCCCACTGACTCAGGATATAGCTGGTGACCCAAGCTATGAAATTAGCAAACAGAGACTCAGTATTGTCATTGGGGTGGTTGCTGGCATTATGACAGTGATTCTAATAATTTTAATTGTCATGATGGCAAGGTACTGCAGGTCTAAAAATAAAAATGGCTATGAAGCTGGCAAAAAAGATCACGAAGATTTTTTTACACCCCAACAGCATGACAAATCTAAAAAGCCTAAAAAGGACAAGAAAAACAAAAAATCTAAGCAGCCTCTCTACAGCAGCATTGTCACTGTAGAAGCTTCTAAACCAAATGGACAGAGGTATGATAGTGTCAATGAGAAGCTGTCAGACAGCCCAAGTATGGGGCGATACAGATCTGTTAATGGTGGGCCTGGCAGTCCTGACCTGGCAAGGCATTACAAATCTAGTTCCCCATTACCCACTGTCCAGCTTCATCCACAATCACCAACTGCAGGAAAAAAACACCAGGCTGTACAAGATCTACCACCAGCCAACACATTTGTGGGAGCAGGAGACAACATTTCAATTGGATCAGATCACTGCTCTGAGTACAGCTGTCAAACCAATAACAAGTACAGCAAACAGGTAAGATGCATCCCAAATATACTAAAATATTCTAGAGAGGGCTAATAACCCTGAGACAGATCACTTTCTGCAGATTTTTGTCTTTTCTTTTAAAAAATTATTATTTAAAATTTTAATAACTGTAATTTAATGTTAATTCTTAATTCATATGCTATTAAATAGCAGAGGCCTTCAGTGAGAGTTGTAGTACTATATTTTGCAAGTTAGACCTAGTGTCCACTAAGTTACTACAGGAAAATATTTAAAGTGGACAGTGTTTTGCCTTGTCTTTGCACATGACAGCCCTAATCCATCCTGTATTCTTTGCTTATAGAATAAATATGCATATATTATTTGGATAGTCCCAAGTAGATAATTGTATCTAGAGAGAAAATTTCTTAAGTCACTACAGTGGTGTGTTCAGATTGGACACAATGAAAGTTTTAGCTGTGTTATATACATATAATGAAGAATTTTACAAATAAGATTGATTTATGTAAGTATGGTGCCATGTATGAAATGTCGAAATACTGACTAATTCAACAAAAATAGCTAGTTTAAAAATATTTACTGATATGCAAGTGTCATGAAAAACTATGTTTTTAATACTTCACGTCTACAACAATTGATATCTATAACAACTGGGCTTCTGTGATGATATGCAATCATAATTTGCACTCATTTCAGTATCAAAGTGTATAAACAAAAAGTAAGTTGCAAGGGCCATTTGTTTTTTAATACAAGCAATGAAAATGTTCATAATGGATGTAGTGTATGCAAGACTGTTTTGGTATTCTTTGTAATTCTCTGAGAATATAAAGATTGTGTGGAATATTAGACACAATTGTTTCCTGGAGAAATGTGAAAATAGTAGCACATCCATATGTATGTGTGTATATAAATGCATATATGTGTATGTATATATGTGTGTGTGTGTGTATATATATATATATATATATTTCATATATATATCTGAGGGGAACATCAGAAAATATAAATTTTGTTTTTTTAAAAGTTTTACTTATATGATACTTAGAAAGTTTTTTTTTTATACCAACCAAAGTTTAACACACAGCAAATAAATTTTTTGGAAATTTCTCTGTCTGATGTTGCAGCAAACTCTGCTTATAAAACAATACATATTTCTCACTGACAGAACATATCTTAACCACTTCTATGAATGTCAAATATTCTTTAATAGTTTTACTACTAAACATGCTTTGCTTGTGGAATATGGGATCTGAGAAGAATTGAGGCAAAGAAATATTTTATTTTATTGCTTTATTTAAGATGATATAGAAAATATCTTAATTCCTTATTTGCTCCCATAATTATTAAAATTAGTTTCCTAAAGAAATATTTTCTGTTTGTAGTCCATTATTGTAGCTATTTGGATAAAAACAAGCAGCCTTAATCTGATTTTATATCCAATAGTAAAAGCAATACAAGAAAAACATAGGTTTGCACTATAATGTACGAAATGGCTATTGAAGATATGTCTTTTGAGACATGCAAGCTTGAATAATTTATTTATTTTAACCCAACATTTGATATTGTGAAGAATTTATATCTGTTATATGATTGCTTTACCTAGAGTTAGAAAGAATTTTTTCTTTTGTTTCTTCATGCCTTTATCAGATTTGTAAATAAGGAGGATTCTTAGTTAAAATAATTTTACTTTTATAAGATTACATTTAAGAACCCACAAATAAATCGAGGTTTTAAAAATTTCCCAGAAAGTGACAAAATATAATGCAAAAAAAGTGTGAAGAGATCTTTTCTGTCGAATATTTACTTCTTCCCTGTCATCTTAATAGTACTTTTGTCCTGTAACTGAAAATTGCATTCTAAATTGTGTAATATTATGCTTTTAAGTGGATATATAAGTGGCAGATTTACAGGTATTTTATGCAAATGCCTTATAAGTTCTATGCTTTCACTTAAACTCCTTTTGACCCATCAGATGGTGTTACTTCTATGTTCTTCAATTTTTTAAAAGAGCCAATATCAAGATTGTTTAAAAGGCAAAGTGATACGCTTATAAATAAACTAATGTATGATATTAGTCTCTTAACTGAGCAAAGTCCATATAACAAAAACGAAAACCCACAAAGCTATTAGAATAATCATATAGTTTACCAAAAGTGACTGTAGAAACCTTGTATGTCATTATGTATTTAAAAAGATGTCTAAATTTTAACCACAAATAAGTAATTGACCTACAGTGAAATAAAGGCAAATGAAACACATCCCCCTTAGTGTAATTAGTAATAGTAATTGATATGCTTCATCTTCACAATATTGCTGTCAGGGGACAAGGGATCCATTTACAAAGTTACATTCCATTTAGGTATCTGACATACAGAGAACCTTTTTGTTCTGATTTTTATTTTTATTTTAAAGTAGGTGATTTTTCTGTTTTTTATTTTAAAAAGATATTACCTTTAATTTTTACAGAACTGCCATGATATATTTTCTTCAAGTAAACTTTTTGTTTAGAAACAAACAAACAAACAAACAAATGCAGGGTTTTGTTACAATTTATGTTCTTCAACAAATGAATTTAAGGAAAAATTTGAGAGTTATATTCTTTTAAGTGCTTATAATAAAGATTAATTTAAATCATGATATTTCATTTGATATGGAGCATTTATTTTAGAGTTTTCCTGAATTGCCTCATTATAGCTCCTTATTAAAATGGAAGTGGTGGAGTGGTGGTTCTTAGAGTGTTCTTATCTTCATAAGAATTAGACATTTTGAAGTGTTGCTTCTATGTGGTTATGTAGTTGTAAGCTAAACAACTCCCTAGTAACGAAAGTTTATAAGTAATCCACATACTATGGTCCCCTCCCCCTTCTTTTAGGTTTGTTTTCCTATACTCTAGAGACAGTCTAATCAAGCTTCTAGAGTTACTCTTTGGCAGACTATAGATGTGTGTTGCAAAGTTTCTGGAATTATTTCTGAAATTCACATATTAGAAAAACTGATGATGTAGCCTAGGTTTTCATAAGTCATACCTTTGCCATTCAGACAACCACCTTCTGTTGAGTCAAATCTGGATCATTGATAGAATAATTGTGATTAAGTGTCCACCTTTCCATTTCATTCTTCTTTTGCCTGGCAAACCTGGTCCTGTTGAAGATCTAAAAATACAAGTATGCTTTTGATTTGAAAAATTAAAAATAATGCTTTCTGTTTATTGTTAAATACCCAGTGTTTTACTATGTGCTAAATGTTTTTCAAAATTCTTTAAAAAATAATATAACTCCAAAAATTGATAATATAAATATATAGTTACAACATTGCTTATTACTCTCAAGTCCTGCTGAGCTTACTCTTGATATGCTGTTATTTGGATAATGCACATAAAGTAAAAATTTATTGTACTTAGTAAATGGAAAGTAAAGCAATTTATTTTTGGCAAGAATTTAGGTTGAATAAACATTCACTTTAAAAATCCATTTGTAGTTAATCCTGAAATACTTAAGGAAAAAATTATATTAAATCTCATGACAGTTTCCTTTTATAAGGAACTGTTGGATTAGTTTGAATAATGTTCTCTTTAATTGATCAATCTATGTTCAATTGCTATATTTTTTCATTAGAATATATATTTCTTATATTCTAATGAAAAAATATAGCAGAACCTGTTTATTTTTTAACTACTTCAATTTTGGAAGCAAATGGATGACTTGCCATCATTATCAGAGCAATAAGCATTAAGGGAAATGTATAACAATTTATTTGTGTATATATAAAGACACTATATATATTTTGGTAGTAATACATCTGCATAATGATGCCAGCCACCACTTCCTAATTTAATTCCATAAGCATAATCTCTATAATATGACTCTCATGTTTTCAACTATGGAGTCTTTCAAGAGGCACAGTGAATCTGCATATGATGAAACTGCTGTTATATTTGGCCTGATACAGTCAATAGACTAATAACTATGGAAATGAGACCATGTCTTTAGTTGAGAGACATCTACTAAAACAACATTACCTGAATCTTTGGATGTCTATGAAATAAGGAAAAAGTTATTCACTGATTTGACCTGCAGTAATGGCTATGCAAATTTAAATGGAAGTCCACATATGACAATTTAAAACTTATCCCAAACTTATCCTAAATCCATTAGTGATGTAGATATAAAGCTGCAAAGCCAATTTAATGATTTTAAGTAAGTCATGCAGGACACTAAATATTACAAAATCATTTTCTTATTGTATTCCTATCTTTGAAATATCTTTAATATCTCACCTGTGGAAAAGTATAAATAATGTATATATCACAAACTCTTTATGTTCCTGTATAACAAGTATGGTGCCAATGGTTTTTTATTTTGTTACAATATTCATACATTGATATGTGAATAATATCTGAAATTTGAACATACACAAAGCCAAAAGACCTTATAATCAATGGCTTAAAAATCACAGAGTCATCACATTTTAGATTTAGAAGATATCAACTAAGAACTCCTCCCATTTTATTGAAGAAGAGACTGAGGCCTGACATATAAAAATAATTTGGAAGTGCAACATTATCAGGTTTATAGGTAAACTGGAGTCCAAATCATGGATTTCAGAGTTTAGTATTCCTTTTTATTTCATTATATTCTCTGTAAGAAAAAAAAAAACTGAATTTCTGTAACTTTTTCTATACCAACCTCAGAAATAATAGAAATCTGGTTAGATTTACTTATGTATTTGTTACAATACACTTGGCTATAAAGATAGATCTTTTTATAATAGACTATAACTTGGCCTTGTGCTTCAGTTCTTGTGTGTAAAAATGTCTTGGAATTTATAATTCAAAAATTTATAGATTTTAAAAAGAAATTAATAATTTCCGCCTATGTAAGGTAGCAGTTGATATTCATTAAAGTAACTTAACATAGTTGAGAACATACATTCAGCAAGTTCATTGACAAGATTTTGAATTTTAGCAGGACAGTGACAACATATGTAAATTCCTGCTTAGAATTTACCATACCCTCAATAAAAATGTATTT